GTGTTCCAAACCAGGGGGCATATTTTTATGGTGAAAGGAGGAAGATTCAGAAAGGACCTGAAGAGTAATTTTTTCACACAGAGGGTGGTTTTGTATTTGGAATGAATTGCCAGAGGAAGTGGTAGATGCAGGTATAACTTTTAAACAACATTTGGACAGGTACATGAATAGGAAAGATGCTAAATGCAGGCAAGTGGGATTAGTTCAGTTTGGGAAACTTGGTCAGCACGGACGCGTTGGGCCGAAGGGTCTGTTTGCAGTTGTATGACTATATCTCATCCGAGATGTCTTTAATCTCAAAGACAGCATCCCTGACAGTGCCGTACTCCCTCATTACTGCGCTGGAATGTCAGTGGAGATTTTTGTGCTCAAGCCCTGGAGGGGGACTCAACCCCGAACCGTGAGATTCAGGGGCGGGTGTACTGCCTACTGAGCCACGGCTAACACCTAATCCATGGTCCCCTTGACCCGTCTACCCCAGAAGCTCAAAAGGAATCAGGCATCAGTTGTGATGCCTTTCCAGAGTCAAATAGTTCAATATTCCACATCCAAACCTGCACATGGAGGCTGCTGACTCCGGTTAGATACCAGCTATTGCCTGAGGATCATGGAAACTAGGAGCAGGAGGAGGCCATTCGGCCCCTCAAGCCAGCTCCACCATTCACTATGATCACATCTGATCATCCAATTCAGTCTCCTGCTTCCATTTTCACACCATACCCTTTGATCCCTTTAGAACATAGACATAGAACAGTACAGGTCCTTCGGCCCACAATGTTGTGCTAACCTATTATCCTATTCTAAGATCAAACTACCCTGCCTACCCTACATTTTACTATCCTCCATGTGCCTATCCAAGAGTCACTTAAATGTCCCTAATGTATCTGACTCCACTACCATTGCCGGCAGCGCATTCCACATGCCCACCGCTCTCTGTGTGAAGAACCTACCTCTGACATCTCCCCTATACCTTCCTCCGATCACCTTAAAATTATGCCGCCTCGTAATAGTCATTTCCGCCCTGGGAAAAAAGTCTCTGGCTATTTACTCTATCTAGTCCTCTCAACATCTTGTTGACCTAAGAGCTATATTCAATTCCTTCTTGGAAACATTTCAATGTTTTGGCCTCATCCCCTTTCTGTGGCAGAGAATTCCACAGGCTCCCCACTCTCTGGGTGAAGACATTTCTCCTCCTATCAGCCCTGTATCCTTAGACTGTGACCCCCTGGTTCTGGACTCCCCCGGCCTTCAGGAACATCCTTCCTGTGTTTACCCTGTGTCGTCCGGTTAGAATTTTATAGGTTTCTATGAGATTCCCTTTCATTCTTCTAAATGCCTGTGAATATAATCCTAACTGATCCAGTCTCTCCCTGCCATCACAGGAATCAGGCTGGTGAACCTGGTGTAGGATGAGTGCTTCAATAATGATTAAAACTGGTAAAAGGAGGGCCTGGAGTTAGTCATTGTTGCTACTGCTGGGTGGTTGTATTATCTTTTACCCGAAATGTATCTGCCCACATCGCAACTCCACATCTAGTGTGTGCACTCTAACCTCTGCTGTGATTTAAAGTCATAGAGTCATTCAGCATGGAAACAGCCCCTTCGGTCCAACTTGTCCATGCTGACCACTCCTATACTCAATGCTCTGAAGCAATGACAACAAGCGTGCTAAACGCCTTCTTAACCACCCTAAATAAAAACCGACAGAACTGCGGATGCTGTAAATCAGCCACAAAACCAGAAGTTGCTGGAAAAGCCCAGCAGGTCTGGCAGCACCTCTGAAGGAGAAAACAGAGTTAACATTTCGCATCCGGTGACCCGAAACGTTCCACATTCCAATGTTCTGAGGAAGGGTCACCAGACCCAAAACGTTAACTCTGTTTTCTCCTTCACAGATGCTGCCAGACCTGCTGGGCTTTTCCAGCAACTTTGTTTTTGTTCTTAACCATCCTGTCTACCTGATGCTACTTTCAAAGACGTATATACCTGAATCCCTAGGTCTCTCTGCTTGGCAGCACTACCTAAGGCCCTACCTTTAACTGTATAAGCTGTGCCCTTGTCTGTTTTACCAGAATGTGACACCTCAGTAAACTAAGGCCCTGTTGGAAAAAACCCCACGACACTATTTTAAAGTGCAGAAGAGGTCTCCATGGTGTTCTAGCCAATATTCATCCCTCAATTTTTTTTTCCTTTATTTGTTCACAGGATGAGGGCATCGCTAGCCAGGCCAGCATTTATTGCCCCATCCATAATTGCCCCAGAGGGCAGTTAAGAGTCAACCATGTTGTTGTGGGTCTGGAGTCACATGTAGGCCCAGACCAGGTAAGGATGGCAGATTCCTTCCCTAAAGGGTATTAGTGAACCAGGTGGGTTTTTCCTGACAACCAGGGTCATCATTAGATTCTTAATTCCAGATGCTTATTGAATTCAAATTCCACCATCTGCCATGGCGGGATTCAAACCCAGGTTCCCAGAACACTATCTGGGTCTCTGGGTTAACAGCCCAGCGATAATACCACTAGGCCATTGCCTCCCGTCCAAAAATATGCCCCCGAGTTTGGAACTTAACAGCGTAACTGATTCAAGAATGGTTGAAGACCCTGGAACTGTACTCAATGGAATTTAGAAGGATGAAGTGGGGAATCTGTTTGAAACTTACAGAATACCAAGAGGCCTGGGTGGAATGGACGTGGAGAAGATGTTTCCACTAGTGGGTGAGACCAGGACCCGAGGGCACAGCCTCAGAGTGAAGCACGACCCTTTAGAACGGAGATGAGGAGGAATTTCTTCAGCCAGAGGGTGGGGAATCTGTCCAACTCATTGCCGCAGAGGGCTGTGAGGACCAAGTCATCGAGTGTATTTAAGACAGGGATAAGTTCTTGATCGGTAAAGGGATCAAAGGTTACGGGGAGAAGGCAGGAGAATGGGGTTCAGAATCATATCAGCCAACATGGAGCAGACGTGATGGGCCGAATGGCCTGCTTCTGCCCCTGCGTGGTCTTATTGCCACTGCTCAGTCTGACAGTTTGCCGTGCCCATCTCAGCTACTGCGGCTCTGACATGACAACAGTGACTCCACTTCAAAACCATTTAATTGGTTACAAGGTGCTTTGAGGCGGCTGGAAGTCGCCACGTAAATGTAATACATCACTTTTTTTTAAAGAGAAAAGAGGAACAGGCAACCTAGCACTGAGGTTCTTAGCCATCTCCTCTGACTCAGCACAGAGTTGGGATCATACTGAGTTCATTTCCACAATGGGGGCCGGCGGATGTGCATGTGAGAGAGCGCGCGAGGGTGAGAGTACGCGAGATGGAGGGCTAGCATATGTGGAATGGGCTGGTGGTTCCTGCTTATCACCATCTGCAAGCATAATCTCTCCAACAGTGGGAATAAGGATGATGCAAATCAGTACACCAGTGCCTCAGAGACAGCAACATTGAGGCCTTTTCACAAGAGAGCAAAATAAAATCCGAAAGGGGGCATGCCCCCTTCTCCAACCCACCTTCCCCCCCTCCCCTTCTCAGCCTGAGCCACTGATATCAGCGCTGGTATTGATCCAGATTCAGGCCACAATGATGAGGCCATCTTGTTGACTTCAGCCTTAAGCTCAGTCCCAACCTCCAACACACACACTGTAGGCTCACAGAGCTGGACGGATTGATTGCTGTGATTTTAACGTTCTGCTATACATCAGTCCTCCCCCGCCTCACTCCTGAACCGGTTCCAACGTCACAATCCAGGACCATCGCGCTACAATAACGACTCTCCCAGTGCCCCCGCTTCCCTCCTGCAAACTCAAAAACTTGCCATCCGTGTGATCACGGACTCTACCCTTCTCCCCTAGGCTTGCCCAACCCCCCCCCCACTTCACCCTGCAGAGGCATTGGGAGAGATCAAGCCTCTCATTTCGACGCCAGCGAGGGGGAAAATAAATAAAGGAATAGTGAGGTGGAAGCAAATAATTACCATCTGTCTGCCTTATCTTCCAACTGAGCGTTGAGGCAGCTTTGCTAGTGGACCGAGCAGAGATGGGGTTACACAATAATCTCTTTGCTGTGAAAGGGAAAGTGTGTTGCAGTCTCTACGCTGTGGGGATCTCACAAACATGACTAGACCCTGGTGCACACTGTACTGGGGCCAGAGGGGAGAGCTGGGGCTGTGGGGGGAGAAGAGTTTTAAAAGAAAAATACAAGGAACAAGACCCAATGTGAAGAAGCCCAGGGGAGGCTGGGGAAAAGTGGGGGTGGGGGAACCTGACTCAGATGTACAAAGTTACAAGGGGGCATAGGCAGAAAGCAGATACAGAGAAACTTTTCCCCTTAGTTGGGGGTCAATGGGGAAAGAGTTTTAAGGTGAGAAGCGAGAGGTTTAGAGAGGATTTGAGGCAAATCAATCTTAGATCATAGAGCTGTAGAGCAGAGGAACAGGCCCTTCGGCCCACAATGTTGTGCTGCACATGACTCCAAATTAAACTAATCCCTTCTGCCTGCCCTCGGTCCATAGTCTTCCATTCCTTGCATATTCATGTGCCTATCTTTAAAAAAAAGTCCCCTAATCGCCCCAGAGGATGGTGAGGATCTGGAACTCAGTGCCCAAGAGGGTGGTAAGGAGACAGGAACCCTCCAGACGTGTTGAGGTGATCACTTGAAACACCAGAAGTGCTGGGAAAATGGAGTTTAGTAAAGAGAAGATAATGGACAGGGACACAATGGGCCAAAGAGCTGTTAAAAAAAAAACACACACACAACTCTTAAGTGGCATCTTTCTTTCTAAATCGGGGAATATCTATGACTGCAGAGAAATATATTGAGGGTAGGCAGACACACACTAGACAAGAGGGAATCTATTTTTAAGAAAAGGGGACTCCAGTCTCCCTTACAAGAGGCAGCAGCAACAGTGTTTTAATCCCACTCCAGCCTCACACAAACACAAATGAAAAGCAAAGAGAGCCGTTCCCTCGCCCCCGATTGCGACTCGACAAGAGCTCAATTCCTCTTACCTTCATCACAAAGAGAGTGTGGTACGTCCTGTCCAGGATTGCTGCTAATCTAGTCCCCTGCTCTGCCATCTGCTGCAGGCCAGAAGTGGGAAGGTCTTGCAATAACCACAGAGAGGGACACACACACAGAGAGAGAGAGAGAGAGACTGAAATGCTTCAGCTGCGCTACAGCACACTGCGTGCTCCAACAGCTTTCTGCGCTGCCTCCTTTCACACTCTGTCTGTCTCTCCCTCACACACACACTCTCTCTCTATCTCTCTGTCTGTCTCTCTCTCTCTCTCTCTCTCTCACACACACACACACTCTATCTCTCTATGTCTCTCACTCACTCACTCACTCACACAGTCTCTTGGTGAAGGTGAAGAGAGTGACCAGGGGCCGGTAGCAATGCAGCAGCTTCTCCGCTAAAACGCTCTCCGCAAAACCAACGGGACGGAGGCCATTTGTTGACAGAGACTTGCGAGGCGCCCAGAGCCTATCACCGGGCAGCATTCAGGGCATGTCTATATATGGCTGGCAGAGGGAGAGAGAGGGAGCTGGGAGGGAGGCATGAGGGAGGGATGAGAGGGGTGGGGAAGGAAGAGATGGGAAGGATGGGGAGGGAGAGATGAGGATGGAAGGATGAGGAGGGAGGGATGAGGATGGAGGGATGAGGAGAGCTGGACCAGGGACGGAGGTAGAGCTGGAGGAGGGAAGGAAGGAGAGAGGGGGGCAGCTGGACCAGGGAGGGT